CAAAACACGCCTGTATGAGGTAAACGATAAGACTTGAAAACCTTCAAATATATTTACATTAACGGACCTACTTAATTCTGATGATTTAAGAATAAAAAGAAAATTGAGTATTTTTTGTCAATCAAGAATTTCGGAATTAGAGCTGACGCACAAATTATAATATCTGTGTATAAGTATTTTAATGATTTTCCTATTTGTTTTTAGAAGTTTTTGCTACAAGACCTCACTTTTTCTTCTCTTCTTTTCCTTTTTAAAAACGAGATGAAAGATACTGTGTTTCATAGAATATAAAACATTTACGCCTTATCATGACGCCCATACTAGCAAATCGACACACACATAAATATACAAAGAAGAACACTGAGCCCATTGAACCTTTATGTCAAATACATCAACTCATCTCAAAGTGAACCAATAAAACAGATGATTTTTGAAGTTTTTGCTTCATACATGTAAGGAAAATCCATGGCCACCGCGAAATGGCCAATTTTGACCCCTGGGCTAACTTCATAAAAATGTTTCATGCCTAAATTCTAAGCTCATGCAAAGAAAATGATTTTAAATATTCTACTTTAAATATACAATCAATTATTAAGTAAACCCAACACCTTGAGACAGCTCCAGGATTATGATTTAAACAATCTTGGTAATTGTTTATTTCACAATGATTCCAGCTATCTGCTAGTACGATCTAGCCAGAGCTATTTTTGTACGAGATTGATAGAGTCCCACTGGAGAATGCTTCATGCTCTAACCTACAAGTATATGGCTTCAGAGGAGACTATTTTTCAAGAATTTACTATAAACCCATAAGGATAATCTGCGGTCCCTTTAGGCGCAACCAATTTTGACTCTAAAGATATTATTTGAACAAGCTTAGCATAAGGCCACTACGTGATGTTTCGTGCCAAATTGTAAGCTCTAGCCTTAATAGGTATAAGGTAATGTAAACCAGTGGCTTTTTAAGAAAATTTCTTTTGATTTTAGGGTTTTTTTATGGATTCCACTGCAAAACAATAAGGCTATGAGCGTATCATGCCATGATCTCATTTGACTTTGAACCTAGGTTGGTCAAGACTATCAGTAATTTGAGCTTTGGAAATTTAATGGCAAACGCAACTGTACTATTACGGGTGGCTTAAAATTAACATTAGTGAAGCTAACTCATTGGTCTGTAAATACCAACAGGACTATTTGCCCATATTTTTAGGAGTAAATGCAGAAAATGTACGATGGTTAGGGAGGGAGTAGTGGTGGAGTAGTGGTGGTAAGAACTGAGAAGCAATCATACGGTCACACCAGTCTTCTGATAACTCTCCTACAACTTTGTTTGGGAGCTCGCTCTTAGATTAAATAATGTTACCGTTCATGCTGAGTGTCTTGGGGACTTAAGTTTAATGATAGTGGTGGTTATGGTAGCTATAGGAAGGGCTATGTCACAGTGAGTAATGGTGGGTGAAGAGAGTGGCTCAGCCTCTGACCATTAAGTAATGTTGGGAGAAAGGATAACTGCAAGAAAAGCGGTGTCTGAATTATATATGTATATCAAGTGGATCATTACCTTTAGAAACAAAATACTCAAATTTTACACGTCTTATGGGTTGCAGTAGCCATAATCAGACATTGGGCAAAGTACTTTAAAAAGTAAGTGATTAAGTCACAATTATTTCTTCAGGGATTGACAGAATAACATTATTTTTACATGGGCAATTATTTTAACTCCTGATTACTTTCTATTGTTTCATTTTAAAATTGCAAAGACCTAGCTATTTTGTGTTTTATTAACAAATTTGGAAAATATTTGGATAACAAAACTTATGCAAATATGAAATATTCAGATTAGTATTCAAATACTTTTACTTGTAATAAAATGAATGTATCACATAAGTTAGGTAATACAAAGCAAACTTTTTTACGTATGTACATACAATTTCATGTAGCAGTAGTAATGTGTTAAAATGTTACAATTACAAAACTCTTGGGCAATTTTAGCCTGAATGTGCATATTGTTGTTTATCTGTTTGGCTGACATTACAGTAGAACACTTTGTCGTCACCTACTTTGTGTCGGCTTCAAGTACAAGTTAGTGTTTGTTTTTTTTAAAAAGAAAGCCAAAACGTTTGCATAATATAATGGCTATTTTAATGTTAATTATTCATAAATGCGTGGTATAGGCTTTCTTGTGATGAAAATAAAATGAGCATTTAGCAGAATTTGAAGTCATAACTATGACATCTCATTCTATGACAAAGTCACAGGGCGATAAATGTTGCTGCCAACCAAAAAACATTTTTTTTCTTAGTCTGGCCAAGAGTTCGGAGGTTTTGATTCAATATGAGTTTTATAATATGCATTATTAATTAACTGTGTATTATTGGGCGCATTAGCACTTCCAATTCAGAGCTGATACATTTTTTCACCATGATATTATGGATAGAAAACTAACAGGTGGCAGTATCAGTGTTTGAACACCCCACCCCTATCTGCCCCTGGACCCCTTCTACAACCCTGAAAAAAATTCAACACTCTAAGGCTTACTATAAGGTACCAAATACAAAACCACCGATGAAATTACATAAAAAAAATTTCCACTATCAAAATTATAGTTATAGAAAGGTGAAAAGCCTACTATATGTTCATTTGCCAAACAATGTGGAACACGGGAAATTGTCGTTTCGGCGACTGAGGTGCATTCCGGCAGGATTTCGCTGCATCATTCATTAACATCAATAAAAAGAACTAGAATTCCACAGCTTATCTAATTAAAGTCCAACGAATATCACTATCATTCCGATTTTTTCTGTTTCAAGGTATTTTTTTTAATTGTCGTAGCCATTTTGCAGTCTGATACTTGGGTTGAAATACGCGATCTGATTGGACGAGCCAAATTGGACGTCCAATCAGATCGCGTATAACACACAGGTATCAGAATCCAAAATGGCAACGACAAGTCAAAAATTACCGTGAAATAGGAAAAATCGATAGAATATTGATATTCGTTAGACTTGAATTAAGTAATCTGTGGAATTCAAGTTCTTTTTATTAATGTAAATGAATGATGCAGCAAAATGCCTTCGGAATGCGCCTCAGTCGCCGAAACGACGATTTCCCGTGTTCCACATTGTTTGGCAAATGAACATATAGTAGGCTTTTTACCTTTCTATAACTATAATTTTGATAGTGGAAAATTGTTTTTATATAATTTCATCGGTGGTTTCGTATTTGGTACCTTATAGTAAGCCTTAGAGTGTTGATTTTTTTTTTCAGGGTTGTAGTAGGGGTCCAGGGGCAGATAGGGGTGGGGTGTCCAAACACTGATACTGCCACCTGTGAGAAAACTCAGCCATTATGAAAAAACACACCCTTTATAAGAAAAGTCGGGCGTTATAAGATTTAGACAGTCTGACTGACTGTTTGACATTATAAAACTCACGCTTAACATTGATAAATCCAATACCATTTCGTTAATTATAATTGTACTTGTTATTGGTTGAGCTTGATTGTCGCTGGATAGGGCATTTTAACTGGGATCAAAATATTATCCTCTTAATGCTCATGCAGTTCAGCTGGTAGACATGTAGATGTGTATTTTGATACATTAGTCTCAAGGCGAAGCCTCATTCACTGACATCTGACTTGGAAACCAGTGCATGCATGGGAGGATAGGGTTGTTTGACAGTTATAAGAAACCCTTAAGTGAAGCAAAATTTAATCTAAGCTGTTATATGAGTGTTATTAGTTTTAAATTTCTAATCACAATATTAATCATCCTACTAAATATTTCCTGAATTTCAATATCGCATTGAGTGAATTGCATTGGGCAGCTCTGAGGAGTAAGAGTAAACTATCTAGAAATTTCTCATGTGGTTAGTCAAGTTTAAAAACCTTGTTGCCAGAAATACTGGCATATAGTGCTGTACAAATATATGTAGGAATCTGAGTAGCCCCTCTATATGCTTGCATAAAGTGTCAGATAAAATACTCGAACGCTCTATATTTAGCAGAAAGGGTAGGGAAGAGTGTAGTTAACCCTAAATATAGTGATGGTTCAAAGGAGTAGGGACTTTCTAGAATTCTTATCGCTTACAATCTAGTCTCTTATGTTTAAATGCCTTCAAATATTCAGTAATATCTTTAATATTATTTCTATATTACTACTATATTTGCCTATAGAAAAATGTCCGCCATTTTGGATTTTTCGGCCATATTGGATTGGGTTTTTTTTAATTCTGTTTTTGGTGTCTAATTTGTTTTTACCTAAACATGCTTTGTGACAAATTCCAGGCTCTTCCTATCTTTAAAAGTTTTATTTGATATATCATTCATTTATGATGAAGAAATTTTTGTCGGTTCCTATATTGGCCTTAAGAAAATGTCCGCCATCTTGGATTTTTTTCGGCCATATTGGATTAGCTTTTTTTTAAATTCTGTTTTGGTGTCTAATTTGTTTTTACCTAACATGCTTTGTGACAAATTTCAGGCTTTTCCTTTCTTTAAAAGTTTTATTTGATATATCATCCATTTATGATAAAGAAATTTGGCGGCCATTTTAGTGGTCACTTTAAATGGTCAAGATCAAGTTTTTCAGTTTGGTATCCGCCTTTATCGGATTCAGCATACCTTAAATAGGTAAAACACACCAAGATACCAATTGTACTACAAAATACCTCTAGCATCTTATAGAGGGCCAATTTTCAAAATCAGTCCACTCTATATAATGTTTATTGATTTCTGTTAAGAAAAAAACAACAACTCACAAACAAATTTAAAATGTCGTGCATGTGTTCACATTCGAACAAATTGAACATTATTTGAGCAGGCTTACTTAATGTTGCAATGTTACATTATTTTACATAAACATGCATTTTATTACAAGATGTAATAAGCGATTTACTGAATTGTATTTTAACGGAGCACTAGTCACTCACATTAACATGTTTGTCAAATTTCATATTGCATAAAACATAAAACCACAACATGTTTAGCATAAACCTAAAGGTCTTATCAAGCCACTCTCTTATTGGTGCATATCCGCATCGCAACGCTAAGTGAATTGGTTGAGAGGGCGTAACAGGCGATCATAACCGTAATAAAAGGGACAGCAAGAGCAATTTACCTGCAAAGACGTGCATTGAATTCACAATGGCTGGTAAGTAAAGTTCTATTTGTTAAATTTTATAATTCTTTTTGAGTGTATCATTTTCATTCAATATTAAACTAACGTGTAAAGAACAAATATATCGGTTAAATTGTTGTTTATTTGACTGCAAACATGAAAAACAGATAGTAAACGTTATCAAAAAATAAAAATGCGGTGCATTCCTGAGATTAATATGATAAGTTTAAACTTTGCTAAAAGTAAATATGGTACAATGTAAAAAGTAATCAAGTGTTCTGTCATACTGGCATGTGTAATTGACGGTGTTCAAAAAGTCATTTAAAACTTTATATTACAAAACTTTTTTTTTAATATTCTTTTTAAAAAATACAAAAATGATAACAGTTTACCATGTTGAAAAATGTATATGATTTAAGATAAACATTTGTACCAGTTATAGATCAACAAAAGTAACTTCTACTATGTTTTCATCAGATGAAGAAGAATTATATTTATTTCATCTTAATTTTTACTGTAGAAATTGCATTGTACGATATTTTTGGAATAATAACAAACAAAACGAAAAAAGCATATTTGAAAAAAAAATCATTGACTGTCTTTTCTGTCAAAATAAAAAAGGTGCTTTCAATAAACCTTTTATATTTTGTCATCTATCCGCGCAATCTGATCAGGATCCATGCTTTTTGCGATCAGTTTCTCTACTTGAAATAGAGTTGGTATGCGAACAGCATGGATCCTGATCAGACTGCGCGGATGCGCAGGCTGGTCTGGATCCATGCTGGTCGCAAACGCACTATGTTGGTTTTGTCATGACGCGGCTCATTTGTTATTTCTTTAGTAATAATTGTTTTTGCATATTTTAAAGGATAATCATTTTAAGTTGTGAGCCATCCTATTTTCACTCATTTCCAGGGGAAAAGAATATAAAAAACTGCAGATACATTTGTGTTTTTATATAAAGATCTAAAAATGAATGAAAAAGCAAAACATGATCTAAATGTACAAAGGGAAGAAAAAGTATAAAAAGAAAAAACATTATCATCGCTCTCCGTGGGTATTGAATGCATGTCTCATGTAAATTCGGTTCCTCGCTGGATAAATTGATGGATGGATGGACACTGGACCGTGTTGTTGAAACATTAATCGCAATGCTTTCACGTAAGGAAATTCACATGAATTTGTACAAATAAATTATGAATTGTTTTAGTTTATATTTCTTATTCTTTTCCAGGCCCCATCTTTAACTGCAAGTTAGCCACCGCCTTGCCACAGCTTAAAAATGGCGAAACAATTTTATTTGAAGCTGACGTAAACGATGGAGCCTTGTATGACAACAAAACTGGTACGTTTGTGGCTAGACTTGCCGGATGGTACCACTTCTCCTTTGCAGTTGCTACCAGTGATTCATATACACCTGCTGCAGTTTCTTTACAAAAAGATAGCATCCCGATAGCACATGCCATTACAGATGTACCAACAAAAACATCACCATTAGCTGTTTCTCAAGGAAGCAATCAAGCGATCGTTTTCATGAAACCAGGAGAAAAAGCTAAAGTAGTCGGATATCATCACAATGCCAGTAACATTGTTGCAGATGGTTTTACAACCTTTACAGGTTATCTACTGAAAGAAGCATAGATTGCAAAAGAAGAAACCATGTTCAGATTTAATTAACTGAATTTAATGAAAAATTATAACTTGTATTTAGATATAAAGTGCTTTGCTTAACATGTATTCTTTCTTTCCCTTGATAATATTCAAATAAAGATATAAGTGTGCATGGGATTTTCTACATACTGTTTACATAGTGATGTTAGCCATTAAAAGACACTTAACATTGTGACATTATGATTTTAAACAATTTTTTACTTTGGTCATTTTACTGAAAAAAAATGTGTGTTCTTTATCATATATTTAAATCATTATTTAAAAAATAAACTAAATAGCTTTTATTGCAAACTGCAATTACATTTTTTTAAAAGATCACAATTGATTTTTAATCGGTGATATCTTGTTATATACATAGTCTTTATCTTTAATGAAATATTCATCATTTTATGCTTTAATACTTTCTCAGTTTACTTAATAAAAACTCACTTAAAACTGTAGTTTGAGTCCTTATTTCATGTTAAATAAATATACCGGTGTATGATGTCATGAAATGAGCCGTGTCATGACAAAACCAACATAATGGGTTTGCGACCAGCATGGATCCAGACCAGCCTGCGCAAGTAGGGAAACTGATAGCGAACAGCATGGATCCTGATCAGACTGTGCGGATGCGCAGGCTAGTCTGGATCCATGCTGGTCGCAAACCCACTATGTTGGTTGTGTCGTGACGCGGCTCAAATGATGATCACAAATAGAAAAAAATATTGAATAGCTGACTGTGCTGGAGCACTGAGAGTTGATTTAAAGAGGAAAAAACACGTGAAGTAAATAGCATGATTTGTGCCATTTAAAAAGTCTCATTCGTAATAAACGAATGTATTTGTTTCATTTTTAGTATTCATGATTTAACTGAACGCTTTAATCGGTGCAATATGACAATTAACTTTTTGCATTCTATTCCTTAGGGAAAATTATCGTACTTCACATACAGACATTCATGTTTCAGTAAAAGAAATTGATTGGAGCCCTTTCGAACAGCTTACATATAAATACCTTCCAAGCTCATTTGAACTCTTCTTGATAAGTTATGAAAACATTAACGTTCTTGTGGTGAAAGATAAAGGTGAAAGATAAAGGGAGTCAGCAGAGATACAATATCAGTCATTATAGCTTTCGATCATTTTCTTTAAAAAATCCGGAAAAAGGTGATCCTTATGAAGCATTTAAGCAATAATCACATCAAAACTACATGAAAAATGTAGACTCGGTTTGATTGAGTTAGTACATGAGGGATAATGAAAAACGCAACATCCCTTACGCCCCTAGCACCCCCTAATCCAATATATACGAGTGATGACTTGAATGATGATTTCATGTTTTCACAACCACATATATTCGTTTGTGTGCATGCGTGAAATTAATTTGAGATTTTGAGGTTTAGACTTTCCGGAAAAAAAACAGAATGCACAGATCCCTAACCTGTATAATTCTAATTATAAGATTTGCGGATTACAATAAGAATTTCACCACAACTTATTTGTTAATAAAAGAGCACATGTCAGTGTTTTTGGTAAAATATAGTGTCATTCAAATAAAAGATCAGATCAGAGTGCATGTAGTCATCTATTAATTGATCATCATGGTTAACCCTTTATCTGCTTAATTTCTTAACCATCTTAAAGTTTGGTAATATCATGATAAAACAATAATGTTAGTCATCATACAATCAGACTTAAAATAACGTATTTTGAAAGAATTCATACAGAAGCAAGACAAATATAAGAAGGCTGAATTGTGGCCTAGCTTTCGTCGATATACTTGAACGAATAAACATATTCGTTACATTAAACGAACTGTTTGTCAGTTTGTTGAGTTATCTTTTCTATATCTATTTTTAAGTTGGCCTAGAGATGTACTTGAAATTGCTAGAATGTTATGTCAGTTTGTTTTAAGTTAAACTAACTTAAAACGTAACGTTGACTGGTGATTACATTGAATTAATTGAGTTAATATTTTTTATAATGATTAAAAAAAAAATCTAAAATCCCTGTTGAATATATTATCTTCAACTTTAAATATAAACAATATTTTAATAAAATGAGACCAGAAGTATATTGTTATCCATCTATATGCTTCAGAAAGTACACTGTTATAATCACCCGTGTCTGCATACGCATGTGCAAATGCAAAATTTAGTTTTCACTTTAAGTCATTGAATTGATACCTCCAAAGTGAAGCAAAGTGACAATGACTGTCATAACTCCCGTGATGTCAGATGAGAGTATAATAAAGTGAGACCTATGACACACCGCTTCGAGAATTTAAAATTCATCATATCCGAAGTTATGAAAAACATTTGGAGGAAAGAAGTATGGACAGCAAAATATACGTTTAAAATAATTCAATGGTTTTGCATGATTGCCATTAATTAACACGACCCCCCCCCCACCCCCAAATAAAAAATATGGTTTAGCAAAAGATGACTACATGAAATATTGTATTGTCTTACAATACCGTAATCGCAACTTCTCAGCAATTTCTGTCAAACACTTTTAACATGTAAAATTGAAGGAAAATTTGTTGATATAAAGACCAAAAGTACATTATTTGTATATCATTTAGTAAGTTTTTAAAAACCAATAATACAAAACGCATACCTATTGATTTGATTGTAAATGTATCCCATAGGACATTTAAAAATTGATTCTTATTATCAGAAAGACGTTTAAATCATATTTCCGTAATATTAGTATGTATTGTTCAATGGTTGTCAACTAAATACATTACTCATTATACAAAGATTGCATCTTGCTATATTTGTTTACATAAAGACTCACGTAGTTGAACAAAGTTCAATTATTTTTAAATAGTTGATTTATACAGAAATTATTTTAGTTCGATTGTATTGGAACCTATCAGCTTATAATTCCGTTCCTGGAACAAACCAGTACTGAGCAATGAGTGAAAAGTTTCTTGCTCAAGGAAACAACGACGTGCCCTTGACGGGGTTTGAACCCACAATTTATAAAATATACATGTACACATTTATACATTTTTCAAGAATTGCTTTTAAATGCAAGGGCGTCACGTGCTTATCGTTTTGCTGAGCATATTCTAATATTAATGATTTTTGTATAACGCATAATGCAAGCCCATTAAGAACTCATCAAGAGTAAATTTTAAAATGTTTATTAGTTAAAATTTACATTGATACTTCCGGTTTTAATGTTAATAAAACAGTTAAATTACAAGGCATTTGCGTACTACTTGCCAGCGAACGAAAACTTTCATATCCCTTATCTCAGATAAATTTATTGACAAGCACGGTGTGACACGTAAAGATATGTGCATGCGGTCAGTAAATATGGGCGACGATTATTATGTGTAAGATTACTTTGTATTAGGTTATTTTTTCATTTTATTTTCATTTAATTTGAAAATGAAAATCCACGAATTTAAGCCCCCAAGAAAATGCCCGTTTTGATAAAACCACGAAATTTCATGCCCCTGAATATAAGTGAATGCGCAGTAATGTGCATGGATATCAAAGCATGTCTTGTAGACATCAGTCAATGGAACTTTCTAGGGTATACAGTTTTATGCAAATTGGCTGACTGGCTATCCAGTTGCTACACTGTATTAAGAAATGGTCATTGCTTGGCCTGGTTTACAAAAACAAGAACAAATGCTTTTGTTTATGATACTATTTGTGAGTAGTTGACCTAGCAATGAGTAGAAAAGGAGGGGCTCATGTTTTCACTTTTTCAATTTTTTATCGTACTTATAAGAAAATAAATTTCTTTGACGATAGCCTAAGCTTGTCCCTTAGTTTTAATGACAATACTTAAACCCGGATTTCGAATATCGTTGTGGTCTAGATTGAGGCTCTATAGATTGAGATTCATTCATTTATACATTTTCAAAATTTTCCTACAAGAAGAAAGTTCACCTGCAATTGAGTATAAGGATAGGTAATGGAACTGTTGTAAACGATTATCCTATTGATTTTATCCTTATAACATTTATCTGTTGCGCAGAATGGTTGTTTTTACAAAGTGTACCAGTATCCGGATGCTGAAAGCTATCCGATTTTCTGCAATTACTGCTGACACATGGCCATCTATTTTTTTATGAATACTTTACCATTAATTTGCATGGCTTGATAAAACTGAACCTGCAGCATTTCATAATTTTGCTGTTTAGGGTGTTCTTTTGGGTTTCAGGTTTTCTTTATTGTAAGGGGAAGTAACTCATGTTTACTAAATTATTTGTTCTTTTCTGTCTATCTTAGGTATTACTTATAATACTATTTTTGTTGTATATAATTCACAGTTGTAAGGTCATCAAAAGCATGCTAATGTAAATGTTAGGATTTCATATTTATTTAATATAAACTGGGAATTATTAATGTTATGTGCATACATGTATATCTTAGACAGTAGTATATAGATTAGCTTAAGGTCTTCAGCGTACCCGTTCAAACTCCTCGCAGCGGTTACTTCCCCTGATCTGTACAGTAACCACTGCCACCACAAGTAAATTCGGTCGAATATAGCCGGATATATTTTTTTCACTTTTAATTTAAAAATAGAATACTTTATATCATTTTAGTTTTCTTTCGTTAATGTACAAGAAAGTAAAAAAATATACGTATAAAAATTATTTTGTAAACATAACGAAAGATATTTTCACTGTGACACCGTATGCATAGTAAACAATGGTAGAATATAAACAGTTATTGAACGATTGCACAAAAAATTTGATCCGGCACTTGTTTTAAAGTGATAACAAATTGTGTGTCTTGAACTTATTTTGTCTGGTAAGGATGTAATTATAAATCTGCCAGTTTGATATGGGATCCCTGGCGTTCTGAAACTGGCCGCCATGTTTTTGTCACATGATACAACTATCATCACGTGATTTCAGTGGTGGCAGTGGTTAAAGTAGCAAAGCGTGACGTAACCGCTGTGAGGAGTTTGGTACCCGTTTATATATAAGACATGACGTGAACGCTGAAGATAACCCCGTAGGGAAAGTCCACCAATAATCGTGCCAGGAATCTGACACGCTCGTATTTATTTATCGAACATGCCACGAAATAAAGTGAAGCATACCTTGATAAAACGATATATAATCTGTTGATAAGCCAAGGATGGGCAAATAAAAATCTTATTAGGAACATAAACTACCTAAAAGTTTCCGACAGGTAAAAATTTCGGCACTTGGCCGCCATATTGTCAAAATGTTTGACCACGTGATTACGAGATTGACCTTTAATGAACCCATGTGCCTCCAATATTTTTATAGATTACTTTTTTTTAAGATGTTGAAAAAGGTTATTTGCTGACTGTTATATTCCAAAAAAATCATAATTAAATCCTAAAAAAATTATGAAAATAAATAAAAACATTATCTTGAATAAAAATATCGAAATCATGTCAACCAAAATGTTCTAAATATAGTACACAACTCTATTCAAATCTGTTCCCGCGAATGACGTCATACGAGGTCTCGCGTGGCACTTGAATGTCATGGCCGACTGTAGTCGGCGAAAATTGATGTTTTACAGTAAAATAGGCAATTTTAATGACGGTATTAATATTTTATTACTTGAATTGGTATAGAACGATATTTAAATAATTGTTTTACCGTAAAATGCACAAGAATTGATCGGTCAAGTGTATTTGCAAGTGAAAAACAAAAATAAATCAAACTATGTTATTCTGGTTAGGTTTCGTAACGGGTCTAATCCAAAACTTTAATGCCGCATCTGATGAAAAACAAAAATGTTAAAAAGCGGCTTGTAAAGTTTTGGAAGCCAGAACTATATATTGATATGTTGAGACTTATAATTTTTCTGCATTTAAAGAGATACAGTTATGTCATTATTATTAAAGGGATGAGACTTTCAGTTAAGGTATAAATGATAAAACATGTATTGATTGAAAATGTCCTTAAACTTGGATCAAGCAATATAATTAATAAAGTCTCAAAAAATCATATTCTGAATAGTTATTCTATTTTTTTTTCTAACATGTGCATAGTTTGAAAAGGACAGCTTCTGTCTTATCTATTTGTAATGAAGGGACACCGGTCTCAACCTCCATGTCTCCTGAGTCAACCCGACAACAGACTGTACATAGAGTAGATTGTTACTTGCCCTTGAATAAATGTGTGCACTAAATTTATAGTGGGTGATTTGTGCCACATGAAAACCAACATAGTACAAAAAGTAACTGGGCGCCAGATGAAAACATGAAAATACAATCTACCACAAAGTTGTTTGTTGCATTTTCATGTTTTTGCCCGGTGCCCTTGATGCGATCCATATAAGCATGAGTTCAATTTCCTATGCTCTGTAACATAAAAATTTCACGAACACAAATCGATAGTGGGGAAATATTTGGGTTTTAGAACTGTTTCATTATTAAAGAGAAAATGTGTAGGCAGCCGGATAGCTTCAGTTGGTCTTCTGAAAATCATGGGTTCGAGTCATGGTCAGGCAGTTTCAAGTCAGGGTTTAGAAGTGGTTTTTTTTCAATTGACACATGTTTGATTCATTTTAAACAGATTGCATTATTTGAAATGGACAAAGGCAGTATTGTATGATACTTTTAGATCTACAAAGGGCATTTGATACAGTTGAACACACTATACTGCACATGAAGAAGTTGTTTTTCTTCTTCTTCATGAAACTTCAAGCATCTGCCATATATAATGACATTCTTACATGGTTTAAGTCTTATCTCTGATAGTATCTGGTTGATGTGGCTGGTACTCATTCTACTACAGTCTACTGCTGTGAGTACCTATGCTGTCCCCCTGATGTTCATTTTAGGTCCTCTTTTTATGTCAAATATATGTCAATTACATGTCTTCAACCCTAAGCAGTAAGCTTTTATTTTAATGCACAGGCACGAGTATCAGACCTTGGAAGAAAAAATATGGCCAGATTGATAAAAAAAACCTGTGTTTATCTTAAAAGTGTCAACAACCAAAATAAAATGTAAATAATGACCCCCTTTAAAAATATACTTCAAATTGATAGTATATTTTTAAAGGGGATCATTATTTACATTTTTTTTTTTTTGGTTTTTATAAACACAGTTTTTTTATCAATCTGGTCATCTGGTCATATTTTTTCTTCCCAGGTCCGATACTCGTGCCTGTGATTATATGCTGATGACTCAGGAATCCTTGTGTCTCATAAAATAAATCTGAAGAAATTCTTTCTTATAGCATGAGTCTTATAAGATTGCTTAATTGACTATAAATTGTCTTTGCATCTTGGCAAGACAGAGTCTATTCTTTTTTGGTTTAAGTTTCAACTTAAACTGGTCCTAGCCTCCAGGTCACATGTAATGGTACTGCTATAAAGTACACATCTTTTGTTAAGTATTTAGGTGCAAATCTGGATCAAATTCTTTTGGCGTCGCCCTTTGATGCTTTGCATCAATGATTTTCTTGTTAATTCTGGCGTGAATCTATCAATCTATCTATCTGTATCAAGGAACGCAATATTTGTAACTTACGGGGTTAATGACAAAAAAACACGGGATTAAATGTTCATGTCATTTATATTGGTAAGAAGAGGCCAGGGCGTATAAGGGGTCATGAAAATGTAATTGTCATAATAAAGTATTAATCCATGATAATTTAAAAGTATTTGGTGATATCGTACATTGGATTATATAAGCTGAGCATAGATAATGTAATTCAATGAAAATTGTAATAATGACATTGTTTTGTTTGTTTGATTTTTAATAATGTCAAACATTTGCAAAAGCGTGATGATTTTTTTAATTATATAGAGGATATTTGTTTGTTTGTGTGTAAGATGAAATTTTATTTCATCGAGTGGGCTTTAAAAACAGTATTCTCACGAGTGGCGTAGCCACGAGTGAGAATACTGTTTTTAAAGTTCACGAGATGAAATAAAATTACATCTTACACAACAAACAGACAAATTTTCTTTTTATTTTATGCTTAAAAACAAGTTAAAACGAAATTTCCATGATTTTAACGTTAATATTAACATCTGTTTCCCCCATTGAGAGCCCCATTTAGTCGAAATTTCTCATTAAAAACAAGAAGTCTTGAGCTGAAAAATAAGTCCGCCAGTCAACGTTAAATGACGGTGATATTTATTCGTTTTATTAAAAAAATATGAATGATAGCTTGTTTTAATAATAAAAACAAACAATTCTTGTAGGAGAAAAGTCCAACCATCCATCCATATTTCTGTTACTTACTGCGAATTTATATTAGACCTGGCTTTGTAAAATGTAAACGGGCAGCCATTTTTTTTTAAAGTTGTGTATTTCATGGGAGGAAAATAATTGTGTAAGATTCAGAGGGATATAATTTGGATTTGTTAGTCATACACCTTTTTAAAAGAAAGAAAACTTGATTGAGGATTGTAACAGACAAAAAATAAGTGTTTACAGATGTGAAAACATTCAGAAAAGGAGCTAGGAAAATGGAAAACTTGGAAGCTTGCTCAAGAACGCTGGGATGTTTTACTTATTCTTCGAGTGAAGGCTGTCAATGCTTTTTAATTTTTCATAAAGCATATGGCAGTTATTGCTCGTAGGATACTTTAATATGCCCAAATGTCATCAAGAGCAGTTTTTCATGGGGAAGGAATGTATTTTTCAGACTGTAAAATTGAAATAAAAAAAAAAATTAGAGACGAAATTTGGTGATTGGAATTTGAATGAGTAGAAGTAAGTTTTCTTCTTTTTATTACTTCTAACATTTAAGTTATTTATCAATTTCAGCTTTGCTTTTTTCTTTAAACAGCTGAACATTGTCAGAATTGTCAGCAAAAATAAAATTGAGGTACTTCATGGGGAAAATCTTAAAAAAGTAGTTTCGTCATTGAAAAAAGTGAAATTATATTTTGATAATTTTCACTGTGAAATTATCAAATATAATTTTCACGGATAAATCAGTAATCCACTGAAAAGCATAAAATAAAATTACATTAGACAAATTATTTATGAAGAAAAAGTTATAGCTTTATAGAATAAGAATGTCACAATTATCTTCGAGACAGCAAATGTCCTCAGCTTTACAGTTTATAACCAGAAAATGTAGAAACTCCGTCGCCAGCTATTTTCTGTGCCTCTTTTTGGCTTATTACTACTTTTGCTTTGTCACCGGATGCCATCCAGACAATAGAGCTGTTACTCGCTTGAGAGCATATGAGAGGATCTGATGGTCTACTTATGTCTGTTGCTGCACTAGCTACGATAGTATCATGTGTTTTCGTCTTCTTCGTCACCACCAGATTGGCAGCGACATTTTCTTTGGTTCCCGAACACCCGATGGTGAATGCAAATTTGTAATATCCGTCTTCTTTAGTAGTGAATATTCCGGTTTTTTCATTATATGCTTTTCCTTCATTTACATCAGCAATGAACTTTATTTGCTCGCCAATTTTTAGACTTGGAATTGTCTGAGGCAATCGGGAGTTAAAGAAGATACCTGAAAAAAATTAATGTTAACATACATGCAGGTACATTCTTTATATTGACACATATTTTTATTCAGCAGAGTGTTATGCTTGAGACCATAAAATAGAAATTATTATTATTATTATTAGTAGTAGTAGTATTATTTTTATTATTATTATTATATTATTATTATTATTATTATTATTATTATTATTATTATTATTATTATATTTTATTATTATTATTATTATTATTATTATTATTATATTATTATTGTTATCATTATTATTATTATTATTATTATTATTATTATTATTATTATTATTATATTTCAATATCAATATCATAATAGTGTTAAGAGTAAAGGGGAGTTGAAGGTCTTTGAATAAAATATTGCCTAAACGAAAAGTACAAAATAAAGCTGCAAGTATTATTCTACACAAAATATCCTGAATAAGAATACATTTGCTGAAATTAACTTAGAGGTGTTATTTCATGAAAATTGCAAATATCACAATGGGAGTCTTAATTATAAAGTAATATTACTTTATTGCTGATAAATTGGCCATTTTATCATTATATCTAAAAAAGATATAAACAAACTAACTTGGGAAATATAGACTTTTACTGTGATATGAGCGTTACAATCCAAAATGATTACGTATGAAAATATCCATTTTAAATCTTCGTTACCTTTTTTAACAAATCCTCAAAATTTTATCTAAATAGTTATAAAATTTAATATATGACAATACTCTTATAATAAATGTGACGAGTTTTGAACTCATCCGTTGTATATTCAAATATGCGGGATGTAACTGTTCCAATAAACATGTTTTTGATTGTTTGTTTTATTGAAAAACAATTGTTCTTTCATGCCAATTCAAAGCAAGATAAGGATGAAATAACTTTAAATAAGTAAAACATCTGATGAAAATATATTTGTTGCTTTAATTCTACATACATGTAGCTGACACTAATAAAATCGTCATTTTTTTCAAACAAAATGGTATAATTCGTTTTTGTTTTGTTTTTTTTGTATTTTGTTTTTGTGTAAAGAATTTAATGAAGGTTTTTAATAACCTAAATTTGAAACATGTGTCACTTAATTTAAAACGTTTTTTTAACATTGTTTCTTGAAAATAATCATGCCTTATATGTAATTGTTTAGACTACATGTTTAAGGAAAATGGATAAGAAGCAAGCATAAGTTTGTTTTTTTTAATTTTTAGTTGAATTTTGCCAATTTATCTTTCCTTATTCAAACTATTTAATTGCTTTATTTCCCTACACATGCGTTAATATAGCTTCGTGAAGGACATTGTTCATTTAAAATTTGTAGACTTTAGCTTGAAAAAATAATTTATAAAAATATAACTTCAAACAATTAACGATAAACTAAAACCATAGTTGAAACAATGCCTTAATAACTGAGAATTATAAGTAAACAAATACATACTCATTTCTAATGTCCCTTGAGACGAACCACTAACAATATCCTATGTTATTGAGTAACTAAAACGATCAAAGCGCATGCGCCGAAAACATCCGGGTCTAACTTATGAATCATACATGAAGTGTTTATTTATTTGTTAAACACAGGGTCTTTTAAACAGATCTTTTTTCAATAACACCAGCAATTAAAACTTTTTCGGCAATAATGTTTTATTGTTTAAATTGACTTTTTGCACATATTTCAAGTATGTTGCACATATTTGAAATATGTAATAATTTGTTAGAATGAAAAAGTCTCGAAATACTTCCTACATTATTACATATGCATATTCCAAGAACTTACTCTAATACACCCTATCCCAATATTCTAGTTTTATGATTATTATAAAGACCATTAATGGAATGGAATATTTAAGAACTAATGCAATTTCCAAATAGTATTAATTTTGATTTATGAGTGTCTGTTTTTCAGTTGGTCTCTGTACTTGCTTGTTATGTATAATTGGTGATAACAAGATTATATAGCTATTCTATTTTTTTCATTTGTGAATATGTTTACACATAAGTTGTTATGAACAGAGCTGAAAAGAAAATGCTGGTGTCAGAGAGGTACATATACAAGCAAGTTAGATATAACAAATAAAGGAAAGTAACAAAAATACCAGTTTGAAATAGTGCATAAAAAGTTATCGTTCTTGATACCATAACAAGGGTCACACACCCTAGCTGGTTCACATCCTCGTCGTCCCAGCCAGTAGTATATGACCATTCCACTAGAATTCATCATTGACATTGGCAGGTGCATTGTCCACTGGAACCACAGTTTGGTTATTTGTTCTTTTGATTGGGAGCCGTTCCGAGTGAAACATTTATATAATATATTTGAATGGCTTACTCGCACTTAACAAGACCCGAAGGATGGTTTATATATTTTATTTTAATTGTATGTGTTGCATTCAAGTATATACTCGCAAACTCCCAAACATGAAGAAGACGTACAGTAACAATAACGATATTTGATAAATTAAGGGCGTGGCTTAATTTATATTGTGGGTCCGACCAGTGCATGTAACATTATAGTAGATCCACTTCTCGTATGTTGTTGTTTTAATTTAAGTGATTGTTTTCTGATAACATAAACAGATCTATGTGATGAATAATAAATAAAAGAAAAAGATACTATTTAATGATAAATCATTGCTAAATGAATGAAATAAAACATATAATACTGGATCTACTCTGTTTCACTAACAGTGGACTTGTCAAGCGTTAAAACACAACTTCATAGTTCTTACCTAAAGTTTATGACTTTAATAGTCTAATCGATTTACATTTATAATACCTCTAAATTCCTCGAATTTTAGAAACAATAAAGAATCAAAAGTGATAAAATATCAATTATTGTATAATAAAATATATAAATATCTACTAGTACTTTGATCATTATTTGATATTTGAAATAGCTAAGGATGCAAATTTGGCATTGGTAAGTATGGGACATTTGTCAAGACAAAAAACAATATTTCGGCAGAAACATTTGATAGTTCCATTATTATTTATACAGATTATATAAATAAAAAAATAACTAGACCTAAAAGCACAGGTAAAATAATATGTCAAAAATCTCGATAAAACTTGTATTTTTGTTGTTTTGGTTTTTTTGTTGTTGTTGTTTTTGAGTCCGCGCCGAAACGCGACGCCCTTACGGAATGAAAATAGATTTTGTGAAAGGGTGGCAGCAACTTCTTAGGCCTTACCGTCGGTCATATAATACAATCATTCCGATTGGTATGAGGGTGTTTGAATATCAAAAATGAAATGTCGCGAAAAATGAATAGTGGACTGGAGAATTTCGCAGTGCAATCATATTCAAATGAAATTACTCTTATCCGTCAATTAATCGCGCTCTTCGGGGTTTTTTATTAATCATTTTGTAGTTCACACAGTGGGTTATTGTGTATTTGCTGTACCTATAAATAGAATGATGACCTTAACATTGTGAATGTCTGAAAATCTATTTATAGAAGTAGTTTTAGTTTAACGAAACAGTCATTTGTGTAGCGCTATGGTTATTAATAACAAACTGGAGAATTTTGCAGGAAATGAAATATGAAAATGAAACATATTTAAACAACTAATTGCACTTTGGATATTATTAACCTGTATATTTTGGATATTATCGTTAATATTGATATAATTTCAAGTTCTGTGGAAAAAATAATAATATTCTAATCTCTAGCATGCCTACCAATGTTCATGATGAACAATGTCTTTCGTCCCCCCATTCATAAATTGGTAAAAACCAAGTAACCATTGAAAGGTTTATAAGAATATCTGGTCATCAGATGTCTACTAGTTCATCTTCACTTGCTGCATATTTCTTGCACGGACGCCCTTTGAGGCTTTGCATCAATGCTTTTCTTGTAAATATATGTAATAGCAGTAAATATAATTAAAACATGATTATTCATTGGAAATAGAGTATATGCACATGTAACTACATATAATCAAAGTTAGAGACACCAATAAATGCAGTTGCTAAAATCATCAGGAAAAGAAGATTTAGTGTATATTTTGTCTTTAAATTGTAATTACATGAATAACAGTTGGAGTTAAGTAATACAATCTGTAATAAGAGCCTTAGAAAGTTTGCACTGGAAGATATAAGTTAAATTCTGGAGAAGCATTATTAGATATAATACAGGGATATTATTATAAACGTTATTTGGCTCATTGGTGGATTTTACCTTTACTGGTTTTCCATAGCTGTTAACTACAAGTTTGCTTCTTTAAAAGGAAGCATGCGAGAGGTCTTTTGCAGCTGTGGAAAATTTGTTTTATTCGAAAATATCTTGGGATATTTTTGCATAAAAGGCGAAATGAATGGTTATAAATTACAATTATTTAACAAAATATAATTTATCAAATATATTGAATATAGCATCATAATTGAAAGTTGTTTAACACTTCATTTTTTAATGTTTTGAAAGATGATATGCAAGAGAAATTGCCTTTTTCTTGGCGCATTAGAGATACTTTTTCTACAAAGGGAACAATATGTCATCAAACTAAATTAAAATAAATGCTAAATATATTATCACGGATTTATATTACAATATAAATCCGTGATATTAAAAGTAGTATCAAAATAAAAGTTTCTAATAAAATTCAATAAGTAAATTTTCGGTTAATGTTTTGTTAAGTATATGGTAACATTTCCTCTACATTTTCCAAAACGGGCAGAGAGAATGTTAATCAAACAATTCTAAAGCGTATATAGCTATATATCTGATGCAAAAATTATTGTTTGGATTTAAAAAAAAGGATTCTTTTAAAATGTTTGTGTGAAAAATGGCAATTAATTGCCTTGAAGCGAGTGGTGCACGGACAAAGTCAACGCTAAACGGATAAAACCCTACTTAAAATAGCAAAATCATATATAGTTCTGGAACATTTTATTCTGTTTACGTACATTATTCATGTGTATTAGATAAGAGACATTATATGCTACAACTTGTTGAGTAATATAATAATGGAACCGATATAGTTTTACTGTTGAAAATTTTGTTAGGATATAGATTTATACCCTTTAAGTCCCAGATTAACATCAAATATGTTTATATCGTTTGATTGGAATTAACAGTATATAAAGCTGTATGCCTCCAAGCACAATATTTGAAGAAAATCAAACTTGAGTAAATTTTGTGCCATTTGCACCAAAAAATGTCCATTGCATTTTTTAGTCATACCGGTTCAAAAGTAATGCGGCGTCCACACAGTGCCGATTACGGCTCCCGTTTGAGATCAGACAGCGCTACGACGCGAAAAGCAAAAAAGTCGGATTACTATCCTCAATGATCTGGAATGTCCTATCATTGTATGAACGCAGTCGAATATGTTCGTAACAGAGTCCTACGGATCGGGACTGGTCAGGAGAGGTCGGCCAAGCACTCCCGACAGTTAGGTGCGTCCCGTTACATTCTGGAAACTCAGCCGATTTTGTCTAGTCGGATTACAATCGTGACTATGTCGTAACAGATTCTGCTGTATCGGATCAAAATCGTAACAATGTCCTGTGTTGTCTGGTCAGTGTCCTGTGGAACGGGCATGATCTGCAGAAATTTTGCATTGTCGTTTCTTGCCGATTGAGTCCAGATTGCGTCCAGATCTTGCCGAATGCGAACCGTTTTTGCCGAATACGTTCCGGAAAAGTCAGTAATTAATACGAAATTTGGCAATATTACCCACGTCAGAGTCACGACAATTACAGAACACGATACGACTGAGTCCAGACAAAGGCGTATGCAATACGGTACAGCAGACTGTAAAAGGATTGCGTTCCGGCAGTGTCCCGATCATCCAGAATATGGCGACAGTTGTAGGATTCCAGATGCGTGGATTTCCAGATTCGGCTGAGCTGCTCACATATGGAGTATATATATAACGTGTGTTTGTGTGTGTGTCATTCATTGACAGTACTTTGACCGGTCCACCATGAATGCTGCTCGTAGACGGAGACTTCTGCAGCAGGTTGCTCTCATGGAAATGGAAGAAGAAGAAGACCTTCTGTTTGCCAATTATTATTTGAACAGAAGGGCACTGCGACCCGGTAGAAATAGAAGATACTGGGTCAAGCCCTGGATATACAGAAGGGAGCAGCTCGGCCAGTATGACACATTGATGAGGGAGCTGAGAGAAGAAGATCCAGAAGCTTTCATCAACTACATGAGGCTGCCCATGGAACAATACGATGAAGTCCTGGCTCAGATCACACCCCGCATCACTAAACAAGATACCTGGTGGAGGCAAGCCCTTGATCCAGGACTAAAGCTTGCCTGTACCATGACGCATCTGGCACCCGGCGACAGTTACAGCAACATAAAGTGGGACTTCAGGGTTCCCAGTAACACCATGTCGATTTGTCCCTGAAGTCCGCCAAGCTATCATTGATGAGTACGCTGCAGAAGTAATCGCCAGCCCCACTTCCCCAGTGGAGTGAAAAGAAATCGCAGATGAATTTCTCCGCAGATTGAACTTCCCACATGTGTGCGGTGCATTGGACGGAAAGCACGTTTGCGTGCAAGTGCCCACCAAATACCGGATCTACCTACCATAACTGCAAGGGCTTCTTCTCCATAGTCCTGATGGCCGTCGTATATGCGGACTATAAATTTATTTGGCTTTATGTTGGGCCAGATGGAGCAGCTTCAGACGCACAAATATACAACGAGTGTGAGCTGAAAGAAGTCCTGCAGAACAAGACCATTGGCTTTCCTGATCCTGAGCCACTTCCTAGAGATGACAGAAATATGCCATACTTCTTTGTTGCTGACAATGCCTTTCAACTGAGAACTGACATGATGAAGCCTTTCCCTTTCCGTAACATGACAGTAGAAGAAAGGATCTTTAACTACAGGCTGTCAAGAGCACGCAGAGTTGTGGAAAATGCGTTTGGCATCTTGGCTCAGAGATTTCAAATACTGTTGTCAACCATGCAACACACTCCTGACAATGTGAGAATCATCGTACAGGCTTGTGTCTGTCTCCACAACTTAATGAGAATACGCTACCCAAACATGAACATCAACCAGGTTGATCGTGAAGATGTCGAGGACGCAAGGATCGTACCCGGAGAATGGAGATTGGGCCGAAACATGCTTGACGTTGTCAATGTTCAGGGTGCTAACCGTGCAACAATACAGGGCAAGAAGCAGAGACAATATCTCAAACATTATCTTAACTCTGCCTCTGGTTCTGTACCTTGGCAGATGAGGATGGTCAACCCTCGCCGTGAATGAAGACCATATAATAAAATAACATATTATGTGTCACATCTTGTATGTATCATTGGCTTTTAAATATAACAACGGAGTTTAACTTGTGACATTACTTATTTTGTAGCAAAATAAAATATTGTTTAATGTTTATTGAAATTTATTTCATTTATGAATGGGTTTAACTCCTAGTTTGGACTACTTTATAATTAAAGGCCACTTGTTTGGCAAAAAGTTAAAGTTAAAATTGAATAGATTTAATAAAGTTTAAAAGTTAAAATTTCATACAATAATAAACAAGAAAACAAAATATATTTTTTATCATGAACAATGTTCATGTCTGATCAATATGTTATCACATCCAATTATAAGAGGTTACATTTTTTCTGTAATCTTAATACAGATTATTTCAAATCTTACAATTAAGTGTTCTGCAATAAACAGATTATAGAGATTGCTTCTGAATTATACAAGTTTGCTGTAATATAAATACAGCATATCAGCAAGCAGTTTAGAAATTAAATTTATAATTAAAATGCGACAAGTTGAAATTCTTATAAGACGGGACCATCACAGGACTATCACATGAAACGGTTTTCTAACGGATGTCTTCCATCAGAGTCGGTTCATTGTCTCGTCACGGTCTGATCTCTGTCGGATCGCATTCGGGAGAATCGGGACGCTGTCGGGACAGATTCGGTCGTTTTTTTTTTTTACCATGACAAAGATACAAATCGGATTAGAAATGGATTAAGAACGGGATAATCGGGACGAATTCTGCTTGAAACGGCTTGATCGGGACGTCTCCGGAACAATATCTGATTGCTGTCGTGATTAAATAAATGTTTTTACAAATTTTGATGAAAGTTTTAATTTCAAGTCAAGAATCACAGGATCTTCATCAGACTTTTGACACATTTTAATCGGGAATGGTCCTATCAAGGACGGCAGTAAAAATCCTGAATGTGTGACTTAGGCTTAAGGAGCAGCAAAACTTCGGTACACTGTTCAATCGGTCATATAATAGCGCATGGTGATATTATAGTTATAATGTTCACTGTTACTATTTATCGGAACATGAAATGGTAAAATGCTACTCATAAAACAATACGGTAATCGATATACATTTTAAAATATTAAAACGGAATGCTAAGTAACGTAAAAAATATTTGTACCGATTTGTTCACTTCCATGTTAATTTTTCGTTTAAGTTAAGTCGTATTTTGAAACGCGGCATGCGCACAACAATTTTTGTAGACTGCTCCTAATGATTTTACGCTTAAAATGAGATTCAGTCACTACAAACAGATACGCAAAAATAGATGCCGCCAGCAATCAGTCTGAACACTGTGGAGAGGTTTGACCTCTCCAATAAATAGAATTTCTATTAAAAAAACAAAGTCTATTAATAGCTCTAACTGTAATAAGGCACGCATGTTTATTTATATTTACACGCTCCTCTCATAATTTACTGTTAGAAAAACAAAATATCACGCACCTATCTTAGTTTCTGAGTCGAATTATATTTCACTCTAAATGGAACATAAATATTTTTTGTTATTTTCTCCCTCACTACGTTCGTCCGAAAATAAAACAATTATTTGCTATACTTGACAAGGAAAAACAAAGACAGTATCGAGTAAGAAGGCGGTTTGCTACTTTTTATTTCTTAAAGTCGACAATATTTCTCATAGCAATACATGAATAATAATGTATTTTATCATGTAATAAAGACAATATATATCTCCAAAGACAAATATTCAATCAACATAATTATACAGATAATTGAGCCATTGGACAGTTTTGTTACAACATAAAGCAACAATCTCACTTATTTAGACAAATTAACTGAACAAACGTAATGTTACTTGTACAGTAGCAAACCTCGAATGACTATTTAGCCGCGAAATACGCACGAGAAAAACGAGCACTATTCATACCAAATACTTTTAAATACCACAAAGCAAAAACTAGAAAGTACCGAAAACAATATTTATTATTTTCTCCCTCACTACGTTCGTCCGAAAATAAAACAATTATTTGCTATACTTGACAAGGAAAAACAAAGACAGTATCGAGTAAGAAGGCGGTTTGCTACTTTTCGAATGCAAAGATGAGAAAACTACAAGCCTAGACTTTTAGTAACGGAAAGTTGATTCTCAAGACTGTAATGAATATAACCGTCGGCAGAAGAAGGAGATTTCCAACGACCGTGCTTATCAACTAATCTAGCATCTAAGTTCGCGTCGCTGTTTGCCGCAGCAGACGCTCCGCCGCTACGCAAACTATGTAAGCCGAAATTCGAACCATCTTCCCCAATTTTATTTAAAGCCTCTATAAGAATTTCACGTGCTCTAGTATACGACAGAGGTGAACCGGTATCGCAAAGAACGTATTTATCTTAACTTTTTAGAAAGCGGACCTTTGAAAACAAATATTCGCCCGAAGCCAAAGTGAGATTAGCTGCTTTAATATATTTCAATAACCACGTCACCGGACATAATGCAGTATTGGTTCTAGCTATATTTATCAAAGTACCATGTTTAAACTGATCAGTTTTACTTTTTCTTATTCTAATAGAAACATGATCATCATTAAAGTGTATGTCTGACATTTGAATCAATGAAATTTCACTGTAACGTAAAAATCCTGAAAATCCAAGAATACAAATCAAACACAATCTTAAATTTTTTAAATTCATAACATCATTTACAGAGTACACATCGATAATTCTTTGTAAAATGTCAATGTTAATCGGTTGTTTTTTCTTTGATTGACACGAGAGTTCCTTCCTACAACCATCGTACGTCAGCTTCACAAGTCTGTGGTCACATGGGTTATCAAACAAATGAAACTCGTGTTTCCATTTAATAGCATAAAAATAAGAATCTAGAACAGCACTACTAACTTTCTTAGAGAATAAATCACTAAAGAAAATACACACTGTAGATACATTGGCTGGTAACGATTCAAGAGAATGACACTTACACCACTCTGTAAACTTTACAAAATATTGATCATACTTTTTGTTTGTGTTCTTGGATTTTGAGGATCGCACTATGTCCGGTAACTGGTGAACGGCTGCACATAAACAAGGATTACAGGCAAAGTCCAATACATCACTCCAAACCCCGTTGCGAGGAAACTGCAACAATAACAATTATTAATATAGACATATGCAAAAACTTAATAATAATGGGTTGATATTACACATTTTCACTGTCTTATATTAAAACAATCTAATAATAAACAATCAAAGATTGTTCCTCCCTGGTCACTGGAGCAGGGGCTTCATAAAAAACTTCAACAAAAACACATTCGATAATCAAGGATTATCCTTCCCTGGTCACTGGAGCAGGGGCTTCGAACATTTAATAACGTAAAATGTATTATAAATGTAGTATTTACACTGTACACTCGTATATCCTTACAAATAATCAAGTCACTGTATAAGTAATAAGTCACTATCTTCTTACAATAAAGTCACTATAAAATCACAATCTCTTTACAATAAAGTCACTATCTCCTTACAATAAAATCGCGTGAAAAACAAACAAGTTAATATCGTCACACGATATTAATAGTTCTTAACTCTAATTCCTTATTTTCTAAATCTTATTAATAATTTTAAAATCATATTAATAACTCAAGAAAAACGAATTTTTAATGCGAGAACGTTTCCATTAAAAGGCGAAATAGCAAAAACACTATGTTTGCATGATCCTGGAATGAAAAACTGACTAGGTTTACAATACTCTATGAAATCTGTCACAAAGTTTTGAAACTCTCTGGTATGTATATTGACAAGTAACGGCCAGAAAATTGCAGACTCCCACTTCGGAACTATTAAAGTTCCCTCTGCCTTACAAACAAACATATGCTGTAAAACTCTAGGAACTAAATTTACTGGAGGAACAACCCAATTATTTTGATTTCCCCAGTTATAAGCAAATGCATCAACCCCAGACGTACCAGGACACCAGAATTTTGAATAAAAAACGTTCAATTTATTGTTTACATTGTTTGCGAACCAGTCGACTGTGAAGGGACCCCATTTAGCATTAAGAAACTTAAAAATATGTTCCGATACGCCCCAGTCGTCCCAATCAAAAATCTTACTCGCGTCGTCTGCTTCAAAATTCAAAATTCTAGGAACCCAGGCGATTTCTAACAGAATACTGCGCTGAACACATAAATCGAAAATTTTCTAGCAATAGTTTGCAAAGGACCCTTTGTACTACCCTGATTAACTATTCTTATAACGTTTTGGTTATCAGAGTATATTTTCACGAACCTATTATATAACTGATCAGAAAACGTTTCGATTGCAAATTCTAAAGCTTTCATTTCCCTCCAAGTTGAACTCATAATACGATCATCCACTTTAAACATATAATGAGCAACTTGATTGGTGGAACCTAGTAAAATACCTGCTCCTGCAAAATCACTAGCGTCTACAAAAAGAATACGCTCTGGAATCCTGTAAATAGGCATTACTGATCTAAATGTTAAATTTGACAAATTATTGAGCCAAAATTTCAATTCATTAACAGAATCTTGATCAAGATATATACGACTATCCCACGTTAATCTGTTTACAATTGGTACATGTAGATGTCTGGTCATGATATTACAAATATTACCAAAACTAAAGGACATTGAAATAATATTTCCTACTACTTTTGCTAAAAAACGTGCAGTAATAATAGTGTCAGATTTGACGCAGTTAATCAATAACTGTTTCAATTTATCAATTTTCCTAGAGGGTATCTCAACGGTACCTTTATACATGTTCCAAATAAACCCTAGCCATTCTATAATCAAAGTAGGTGACCAAATACTTTTCTCCTCATTTACAAGAAGACCTGCCTTGTGTAAATCTGAACAAACCCGCTCGCTAACCCACTGACAGACTTCTGGAGAATCAGTACCCCACCCGTCGTCTAAATAGACTATGATTTTAATCCCTAGGGTTCTCCAATACTTAACAAGCGGCCTTAATAATTTAGTAAAAATATAAGGCCCCGAACTTAAACCAAATGGTAGAACAGTGTAGACATAATATTTGCGACAACCGTTATCTTCCCACGAAAAACCTAAGAATTTGTGAAAGTATTCATTAATACTAACGTGATGATAACCCGAGCGTAAATCAAATTTGAACATGAGATTGCCTTTTTTACAAAAATGTAATGCTTCTTTGCAACCCTCGAATTTAACTTTAAAATCATGTACGAATAAATTTACATGCCTGAGATCTAAAATTAATCTTTCTTTGCCGGTTGAGTTAACAGACACGGTTAACGGATTTACACAGTATGGCGCATAGTGCGTTTCTTTAATGCATTTCTTAACCAAAAGTTCTGAGATAGCTTGACTCACGAATTTAGAGTGTTTTAAAGCTGACGCGTTATTTTTAAGAAAAACAGGAGAAGGTTCTGTATCAAAAGGTATCTTATAGCCATTTTTTATAATATCTTCAATAAAACAATTAACTTTTATCTCATTAACCCAGAAATCTACCTTATTTCTTAGACTAACATGTGGATGTAACACGTTTTGTTCACAAGAGTTATCAACATGTTTTGTACAAAAATACTCAACTGTATTACTTATCCGGCTCACTTCCGGCTGTACTTGATGACCTTGGGTGACCTTCGTAGCCTGAGAACCGGGGAGGAACTGTGCTCCTCTGGACGTAAGGGCAGGCTTTGGCGTAATGTCCTCCGAGGTGACAGATGAAACAAGACCCGAGCGGGAATCGCTGCTGCTGGCTCGAACCTCCGACATAACCCCTTGGCATAACTGTCGCATTTCCTGGCGTAAACCAACGAAAGGACTGCTGCTTATAAGTAGGCGGTTGAAAAGGCTGCTCAGATGAGAACTGCCGCTGCTGTCTCGACCCTGACTGGGCGTAAGGAGAATACCTACGCGCCTGGGTAGCACGTGCGATGGCCCCGCGCAGTTTAGTAGCATCATCATCGTTATCGGTCAGTGGACTGGCATCATACTCTTTAACAGTAAGCCAACCATGCTTATCGGCTATCTTTAGCAACTTGTTACGATGCTGAATGTCTTTAATGTCTTGTTTGACCAGTTCTTGAATAGAATCGAAGCTACGTAGATTGCAGAAATTGTCAATTTTTTGCAAAGTGTCTATTCTATCAACGTTAAAATCAAACTGAATTTGCAAACCTTCACTTTTGAACTTGAATTTATCGGCCGGCGATTTCTTTGCTGGTGTCCCAATTCTAGCTTCAATTTGGTCCAAAATGATATCACGCTGTCTGTCTAAAGCCCTCTCTAAAGTTGTATTAAACAATGAAATTTGTTCCGAATTGGACAAATCAATACTTCTGCCTGGCCTCGTGGGCGATTTTTCAATGTCATCCATCATTAATTAACTGAACAAACGTAATGTTACTTGTACAGTAGCAAACCTCGAATGACTATTTAGCCGCGAAATGCGCACGAGAAAAACGAGCACTATTCATACCAAATACTTTTAAATACCACAAAGCAAAAACTAGAAAGTACCGAAAACAATATTTATTCTTTTTCGAAAATGGGGCTTAAAGGCAAACAATTGTTTAGCGATTCTATGACTGACTTTGGCTATATATAGTCTTCGTTTCATCTACATATCAGGCACAAAGGTGTTTTAAAATTATTTTCAAAATGCAGATTGAGTATTTAATTGTGAGCAACAATTGATATTGCTCATGAAAAAAAGCTTTTCAAATATAGTCTATTAAAAATTGAAATGGACCTACTTCTCTAAATTCGTATCTAGTCACTGACATTTGGAATACCTATCCTCAAATTTTTATCTTATTACACTGCATTTCTATTTTTATATCTTCGCAAATTTCAATAAACGGAAACGTTTCGGCTCAGTTCGTCAAACTCCGGATATGGAGAAACTATTTGTACTTCTTATCAATTCTTGGGGTGCAGGAGTGAACACATAAACATCCATTCCTAAAACACATGAAATAATAAAATCGTTATTTCGACATATCTTTAGGTGTTATTTTACATTTCCGATCATAAAATAATATGTTTTAAAGCAACACGCCTCCAGATTCATGCTAATTTTCATAAAAATTTTGAAAATGTATCTGAATGTTTGAGATTGTGAAACAACTTACACATTTTCAGTGCCACATACAACCCGCGTAAAGTACTAAAAAGTGGTCAAAATATGCATAAATAGCCTTTCTGCGTTAGTAACGCAGTAGAAATGTAGTTGTAAATACTGAAAAATCAATCATTAATCGCACAGAACATTTAAAATATTACTTGAATCTTGAATCTTTTTACATTTCCTAAAATTTTAGTACATTTTTCTTAAGTTTGATTTTATTGAAATATTTTGACTCATCTGGAGGCATGTAGCTTTAAAGCACTTTTAAGTATTGAGATTTGAGTACCGCTAAAACCGGTGCTGGAGGGGTGTGAGGTGTTCTTATCTATCCTGTACAGACTCAATCAAACCAAATCAGCAATTTTCATGTAATTTAGCTTTTTTTAATGCTTCCGAGGGATAACTATTTTCCCATATATTTATGTATATTCTACAAGATGTATATTGCAGTAAGAGAGTTGAAACCGTCTGTAAAAGGTGACAAGTAAACAGTATAACGTATGTAGGCGTTATAGTGTATAGAGAGAGTGTAAAGAGAAACAAAGGATCTAAGTCGTATCTGTTTCCAATGGGATTTTTTTATTCAATGATTGAAAAAAATATGAAAACATATCAAATACAAAATCATGTCACATTACAATAAACTACCAAAAAAGGCAAACAGAGATTATAACGAACAATATTTTAAACGTTAATCAAATGAAAGAGAAATAAATAATGAAAGACTAAAAGTCATATGTTTCCTTCGTACAGACCACCCTTTTCCATGCAATCTCTTTTCAAAAGAAAATACGAGTATTTTAATTTCCTTCCGTGAATTTATAGATTATTCTGACCATTAAGCTTTCAAAAAGAAAAATGTTTTAAAATGTTTATATTTTTATGCAAATATATGTATGTGCTGAACAAAATATCGACTGTACGATAAGAAAGACTACCATGATATACTGAAAATTGCAATGGATATTTACAGTGGTGTCTTTCTCGTTTAATTTGAAGTAGAAAGAAAAAACTTTGAAATAAATTTGCATATAACTTTTAGATATGATTCAAACAAATGTTCTGAAGAAACTGGGAAAAAAATGTGACCAAGGGCATTGTGACAGTGTCTAATACAGAAAATGGAGGAACAAATTGAACACTTTTACAAGTCATATTGAAACTTTATAAAAAAATAAAACAAAGCAGTTAATTTCCTGAAAATATATCTTAGTAATATTTTCTTATCTTGGATCGTTATCATCCTATTATCAATTAGTTATTAATAAAAACTCATTCACTTTTATTATTTGTATAATTTATATATATATATATATATATAATATATATATATCTGTTTTTATCTATCAAACAATGAAGTCTATGCAGTAAAAAATATTGAGAGTTATCAAAAGATTTCTGTTCGACAACTTAATATTCAACATCTGATGTCTTTTAGTTAAGAAGGTCTATCACAAACAGATAACAGAGAATGTTAAAACAAAAATATTGTTACTTATACATGTATATGGTATTGGTTTAAAATACAATTATATTTTTCTCCAATCCTAAGAACATATACAAACTAAAAATTCCCTTACTCTAAAATTATGAAAAGCTTCAAATTGTATTCTTCTCTCAAAACTTTTAAATTGTTTGAAAATTTTAAGATATGTAGGACACCGGGTCTAGTAAACACTATTTTATCATAAAGTTCATGACTGTGTCATAAAATAAACCCTTTATGGGTCGTTTTTATCCGTATATATACATACGTACTTAAAATACAAAAGAAACAAGTAATGTCAAGTGTTTTTAACATCACAGATCTGATCTACATAATACAGTTTAATACTGATTCCATTGCATTGATAATACTTCTAAATACTCCTAGTATTTTATGAACAAGAAAAAAACATAGGTGACGATTTTAAAATGTCATCATGTTTAGTAAAACTATATATCTACTGGTATCTTGAAAAAAAACACAATTATTTTAATAAAATGACTAAAAATTCATACTAGTTTGGCAAATTTGGCATTGGTAAGTATTTGACATTTGGCATGACAAGAAAACAATATTTCGACAGGTACATTTAATAGTTCCCTTATAACTTATTTCTTTATACAGAGTTAATATATATTTTCAAACTAACAACACCGGTAAATTCATATGACAAAAATCACTTAAAAGTTGGAGTTTTTTGTTTGTTTGTTTTTCAATGCTAAATAATGTTGGTAAGAAAAATGTTATTAAACATAATGAACAAAGGCTTAAGGAAAAAAGATAACCAATATATTTACCAAGAGTTAAGTGAGTACCATCTTTTACATTCAAAATTTCTTTTTAAATAGTTTCCACGTGATTACATAAAAAATCTCAAAACGTTATTTTTTCATGATAAATATTATGTATAAGAAGTAAATAAAGTTAAAAACATGATTATTAATCAAAATAAAAAAGTAAAGACACATGTAACTACACATAATCAGAAGTAATTAAGAACACTAATAAACGCAGTTGCTAAAATCATCAGGAAAAGAATTTTGGTTTATTCTTTGTCTTGAAACTTCGATTTTAACAATTGGAGTTGAGTAATACAATTTTGAAAGAGCTGACAAGTTCATTAAAAACCTTCAGTAGCAAAGGTAAAGTATTTCAATAATGAAAGAAACAGGCAGACAGACAGACAAACAGACAGACAGAGCTTGATTTTGCAGAAAAAAATCCCTACCTGTTCTATTGCATGATGTTGTTCTGTGTAACTATTGCTATACATTACATTATTAACATTTATTTACCGTTTTATCTGTTTGAGATATATCATAGATTTATTTGATATTTTATGCATAATATGATTTGTATCACTGTAATCAAGTCATTATTGTGTCAAAAATATTGTGAAGAAATTTTCGTATTGATTTAAACATGTAATTTTGTGGAATTTAACATGTTCCTTTGTTGAATTCTTTTTTGTCTTTCTTTTTTTGTCATTTACTCCAAAATAGAAAATCAAATTTTAATGTTACTGTTGCCAAATGCTTCTGATAGAACTAACTATTTCGACAATATATATATAACACTACATTACATATAATTTATGGTATATCAAACAACTCTTAGAAACTTGTTTTACCCCATTCCCCGTTAAATACAACATTCAAATTAAGTTTTAACACAAGGGGAAAACGATTATATTCACAACTATAATGTTAGGTATAAATTTAACATAAAAAACTGAACACATTAATATTGAGATACTTTAGTTTAAAGAAATTTGCACTGATGGCGACCTGCACCTCAATACACAACAGTCACCCAAACAGAACACATTTTCAGGTAATTCAAAAATATCTTTAAATAAATATATGAGCTAGAAAAATTGTAAAACAAAATGAGTAAATGCTAGTCAAGATAATACTATTACATGTCTATTATTTTTTTCTCCATATTTTTAACATGATTCCTTCCCTAAGAATTACTTAGTCTCAAACATAACCCTGCTCCCTTTTTGCACATTTAAGAACAAATTTTGCATTAGGCATAGTCTATAATCGAAATTTTTGTCCGCGACCGAAAATGAGATCCAAATTTGACATTAAATTGAATAGAAAATTTAGTCTGTTTTGAAACCCTGATGAGTCTAGCAAATGCATTCATTTATGAACACGAGTATTGTATATAAATAAAAAAAGACATGATATTCATATTAACATTCCTATTATACAATACTTAATCTGTTATCAAGATGTATTCTCAAGCAAAAAACATGTTGTAATATTTTTTAAATATCATATCTTAGCAATCCGGGACACAAAAAAAAAATGTTATAAAATCTTTCATATAAAAACTGAAAAATGTAAGTAATAAAATAATTAAACTTATCAAAAACAAAAAGAGATTTCTTAATGAATGACTTTGATCAAATGAGACAGAAAGCAAATATATATTTTATCTTAATGTGATTATTTTAGCAACGATTGGTCCTCATCAATATCAGCATGATCTTCGGCATCTTTGTAATCATCATCATCATCATCATCATCATCAGTAGCAGCAGCAGCAGCAGCAGCAACATTAGCTCTTCCATTTACTATTGTTATGATACGCAAATCATCTTGTGATTGTTCATCATCATCTGCCTCGCCAGTCTGCAGGTTGTCTATCTCTGAAATTAAAATATCTTCTTTATAAACATGCAATGTGTTTTATTAAGACAATGGTTATTTATGAAATAACTCTTTATTATGAAACATACGCGTACGTTACTAAATGTTTGCTCAATAAACAACCAACTTGTTAAGAATAGCCTTAAATAAATGATCCACTAGAATAGAAAACTATGGTAACAACAACCATGCAGCTGACACTTGCCAAACTTTACAGAATGATACGTGCACAAGACTAATAATGGTAACCAACTGGATGAATTATTACTTACCAGACTGGTTGAGATTTCTACACATTGGATTGGTATCAAATTTAACAGCAGGTTCTACTGTGCATTTCTCATCATTTTGTATACGACAACAGGGGCTGATCAAAGAGCTGAATAATTTTCCTAAAATAAATTATATGAAATGATATGACATTGTATAGTTCAACCGTTCAGTACACTTGCATCATGCATTAAATGGGAAAAAGATATGCCAAACTCTTATTTGATCAATATCTTATCATGTTGTTTTGAGAAAAGTATAAAATACAGAAAGACATCATGAAAGTATAAGATTCGAAAATATGCATGTGATTTGTGATAATGATTATATACTTATGTTGTAAGACTTGGCGTATAAAACCTGTCACTGATTCTACCTTTACAGAAGAGTGATTAATCTTCATCTTTATGATTATGCTTTAGAGCCTGTTTTATGAGTATGTTATTCAAGACGTAAAAAGAAAGCTGTAATGACTTATTTACCATACACAAATACAATAAAAAAAATAGAAAATAGATTTAATCACATTCAAACTATGTTTAAAAAAAATCAGAATGTGTGTTAACACGCAAAAGCATCAGAAATGTTCAATCACAACCAAATAGGATTACAAATAACAAACATGCTTCATACATTTAACATACCAAGGCATTCACGTTTTAGAACTACAAACATTAAAAGGAGCATGCATATAACCACCCCTAAGGCAATATATACAGCGTGTAGAAATTTAGCCTTATTAACGTCAGCTTCATCACTATCCATGCTCCCTGTTACCATTGCTGTTAATGGAAAATGAAAATTCATATTTCAATAAACATTGTTGCTGCAATATATTCTTAAAATTAAGGTACAGGCAGTGTAGATAATTCACTATCAGAAGCGGATACTACAGATATTTCTCATGATTACAACTTCCAGAACTTTTCGGTATGTTGATACATGTCGTTGAGACTTTAAAGTTAAAAAACGACAATTATATCTAAATTATATCTAAAATAAACAATTATAATGACTGTGGCATAACTTAAGAAATATTTAATAGAAAATAAAATAAGAAAACAAATAACATTCCATAGTATTTCACAACTTCACGTGTCTAACGTAAAGTTATAAGTGTAAATCTAACCAAAAGCAAAACTACTTAATGTCAATCCTACAAATCTCAATAAAGTTCAGAAACCAAAAAACGTCGACAATTGACGAATTTATACAAAATGCAGACGGAAGATATACCCTAAACATAAACGAAGGTGAATATACTCACTATATATTGGGGCAATATTCAAGAGTAAAATCACTTCTCGGAAAATCTGAAATTATGAAATAAGAAAATGTTGCAATGGACATTTGCACTGTTCAAGCTTTTAAAAGGTAAGATAAATCTGTATATGCTATTTGCTGGATTAAGACAATGAGAGTCTTTCCATTATAAAGTAAAAACTATTCGCTTATAAATGTGCCACTGGGACCCTACAGACCGAATTTTAAGATTCGAATTTTTCTTTGTATATACATTTTGTGCAAAATCACACACAAAAGGTCATGTTTTGAAAGACTTAAATAAAATTTATACAAGAAACATGGTAGAGTGTTATCTCAGACCGCATACTGTAAAATCATTTAAAAATCAGACCAATGCATGATAAGAATTTTGCGAAGTATTCCTCATATCTAAGAGACTATGTCTTGCCGCAAATTAAACTTTTTTGAAATTCGGCAGTCACACACTCATTCTATACTAATATCATAAAATCTGAATTATATTATTAAAAAACAGACAAACAGCGTTACTCAACATGATTTTTTAACATATTTGTGTATATTTAAGGAAAAGTGATTCAACCTCTTGCGTTCATGTTTTTATCAATCTTCAAATACTTGCCATAGATGATCAGTCAAGAATAATATCAGCAAAATATCAGATATAACCATTTATTGACAATGAGATTAATAAAGATTTTTTTTTTTGGTGACCAAAGATATAACTAAGGACTTCTTGATTAAATCAAACTATACAATAAAACTATTATTTATTGAATTATATCTTACCTGGTAAGCTGCCATTTTCCAATGTGAAAAACTTGTGTTCAAAGCTGAAATAGCAAGAAATATCATTAAATCATAATACTTGTATACTCATCATGTTTGCTTGTGACTATTGATTCCAAACAAGTGAATAAGGAACAAGACTATAAATACTTGCCACTACAGACTTTGCTCCAACGGCTACTGTTATAGTCTATGCTCCAAATCAGAACATCCTTATTATAGCAGACTTTACATTGCATGATTGTAGATGCAAGACCATGATTTGCGAGCACATTTTAAGAGATAAAGTTATTGCAAAAATACTACTATGAGTAATGCAGATGTACCATAAAAATATAGTTTCGTATTTTCAAAATCGTACCTTCGAGTTTTCAACATTTCAGTTTCGCCTCCTTTTAAGCATGCGCACCGAATGACAACGCACAATGTACTAACCTTATGCTAACATCATGATTCAAAGCCATTTATATCTTTATATCTTTGTTATCGTATCCTTGAATCCGTAGAAATATTTTCAGCGTAGTCCATTGTTATGATCTGTGTGCGCATACTAGACGGGAAGGCGAAACTACATGTGGTGAAAAGTCGAAGGTACTATGATGAAACGTCAAAACCACGATCGTGAACAGTTGGAATTATGATGATTAATTAAAAGTCGAAATATCTAAACCACTATGGTGAAATATCAAAAATGCGATAATGAAAATTCGAAAGCACGAGGGCGAAAATTTGAAACAATGAAACCACGATGGTGAACAGTTAAAATTAATAAGATGAAAACGCGAAACTATATCGGGTTTCAACTATCATGGTTTCCAAATCTCGATTTTTCATTCTTCAGAAAAGCAGGTGCTAAGTGTCGTGTGGCAGGCAGCTGTGAAAAGGTTGCCCCGTACATCACTTTAGTGGTTTTTTTATTTTTCTTGTCCTTCGGGATCATTGATTCCAGGGCTTCTAGGAATCACTTCTAAGTGTTAAAAGTTGAATAACGCTTGAGCGTGTGCTAGCGGGCGTGAGGGATGTTGCATTTTTTCATTATCCCTCATGTACAGACTCAAACAACCAGAGTCACCAAGTTTCATGTAATTCTGTTGTGATTAATACTTCCGAGCAGTCACATTTTTCAAGATTTCTTTTCGACATCGTACTTTTGACTTTTCACCATCGTACCTCAGACTTTTCACCATCGTGGTTTCGATATTTCGACTTTTCATCATCGTAATTCCGTGTTTTCGTTGTTCCAAGTTATGTGTGTGTCGCGATGGCCCTATCGGGATCGGGACACCGTAAGCTTTTTCCATGACCTAAAATTGTCAGTTTACAGGTGCGGATCAAGTCGGTGGATAGAGTTTGGTCCCCTAGTGTCATTCTATTAATTAAGATTAAACCAGCAAGAGATGCCACTGTAAAAACACATGGAAATAATGTCACTATTTTAGTGTTTTCAATAGAACCAGGCTCTTACAGGGATCCGTTAACTTTTTTAATCACATCAAGATTTTCAAGACGTTTCATTTTCACGCACGTGAAACGGGATTTTCCTGATATGCTCTGAAGACAATATATGATCTTGTCATTAATATGTGATTTTATTTGCAGGGTTTTATTTTATTTCATTTTGCTTTTAATTTTCCGAGTCCTGTGGACACTGACTTGTATTTGTCAAAAAAATTCATCATATTCAACAGTGTGCTGCTGTCAGCTATGATAAATCCCGCCTTCTATGTACAATGCATGTTTTGCTCTCTGATACTTGGACTGAGCTCTTATAATCCATTTTACAGTAAACATTAAAAGCTAGAAAGTAGCCTTCGGGTCTGTGTTTGGGTCTGTGTTATCAAAATATCCCTTTAAGGATCTGGTTCTATTTTTGGACACTACAACAATGACACTAACCTTTGACCTGTCTAGTGACATTTAAGTAGGTAGGGTTGTAGATCTCAATGAGGCATATATAAATAAGAAAGTTAAACATCATATATAGAATTATTTTTACTTCATGAGCTGGGTTTTAGTTTTGGAAAAAAGGTCACGGCGAAATTTGCCTTAGTGGCATCAAAATAGGTTGGGTTGTAGATCTCGTTGGGGTACATGCCACATGAAGTTTGAAAGTCACTTTAAGAAAACGTTTTTAGTTTAATGACAAGGTTAAGTTTTGGGACAGACAAAATGACTGACAAACAGACAGAATTATTGACGTACAAAGAGCAAGATATGCTATACAAAAGCAATATACGCCTGTATTATTCGATATGGGGGCACAAAAAGATTTTTGCAACCAGGGCCTCAATCCATTTAAATATGTACGACTGTCAAATCACAGTTAAAACTACAGGTAAGTCGCGCGTTTTATCACAAAATACGGAAAATGTGTGCATAAATAAGGCAATCCTATACAATATGGATCAGCCACTGACCTTAGAGTTAATCTACACATGATATAAATATACCCGTATCTATTGCATATATTTATAAATAGATACGATTAGTCTATTATTAGTAACGGAATTTCCAGCATTAGGCAGAGATCATTAAATTTTTTAAAATAGATACGAATCGTCTATTATTAGAAACGGAATTTCCAGCATTAGGTAAACGTGCGGCCACTTTAATTAAACAGTCAAAACTCCATTTTCAATATTTTCTATATTCTGTAATATTTTAATAGTCTATATTATGTGTAGTTAAAAGTTTATAAGTACGTATTTACAAAATTAAATTAACACTCTATATACAGACCTGTATAATGATCTGGTAGTCGTGCAAAATCTTGATACTGAGATATTTTCGTTCTGGGGACACGAAAATAGCACAATATCTCATCGCTTGAACTAAATGATCTGGTTTCCCATTAAATTGTTTACAGGTGAATCAAAAGTACAATGTTACATGTATTGTATAAAATTCATATAGATACGTGGTAATTATAAAAGGAGGCTCTCTTTCTTTCTCTTGTTTCCTATCTCTTCTTCTTTTCTTTTATTACTTCTCCTTCAATGCACATGTTTTAATCATTAAATTTTCTCAACATATTAGTTTAATAGACCAACTACTAAACTAAGCAATATATCCCTTTAAAAATGAATTCATACTCGTGCTTATACTTCTAATCTAACAGAAATGTAACTTGAATTTAGTTCATGAATACTTGACATAAACATAGTATATGTAAAGTAAGAAAGCAAGAACAAGTCGATATAATATGTATAGTTTAGTTTAGATATTTATATTTTGTTACCATTTATTTGAATTTTTTTAAATACTGATCACGGAGAGAGTTTTCAAAAAAGCTTTACAACCGTAAATTTTATTTTATGTACTTTATTATGTAAATGTGTGAATTATAAATAAAATATTGTTTAAACTAAATGGAGGCTAAACACTCCTTTATTCAACAAAATAATATTACCTTGACATATGCATGTACATATTCGTGATATCAATACTTAATCAAACTTTTAACCAGTAGTTCATTAACAATAGCAATACCAATTCAAGCTTGAATGACAGTAATAAATCATGTAATTACCGGTTGTTTTAATCCTTCCGTTATGGGCGTGTGCTAATCTTCAATTTACTACTTAAAAAATGACGCACCCAAAAAGTAACGTTTTTACGAGTTGGATATCTTCTGTAGTTCATTCCGGTTGATAATAATATATTTTATTCCTCTAATATTGAAGAGCATCATAATACATGTAACAAATTGATCTGAAAACGCATTGTCAGATACATTTGTAAGCTGTTTAGGTGTGCGTCAGGGAGAAAATCTTACTCCAATTTTTTTTTTAATTTTCCTTAATGATTTGGTATTATATGTCTACACATTGTAAAGGATTGCAGTTTTTATCAGACCAGGTAAATGAACAGTTAAGTAATGATGAAGTGGATGTATTCTTGAAGTTGTACTTATTACTCTATGATGATACAGTTGTTTTTGCGGAAAGTCAAACTGGTCTTCAAACAGCACTAAACTGCATGCTTGAGTATTGTAAATTATGGCATTTGACTGTTAGCACTGATAAGACAGAAGATATTGTATTTTCTCGTGGTAAATTAAGAAATAAGCCTGTATTTGATTTCATTAATGCACCTCTAGAAGCTGTAGATGACTTTAGTTATTTAGGTGTGATATCCAACTTAAATGGTAATTTAATAAAACAAAAAAGCACTTGACAGATCAAGCTAGGAAGGCTATGTTTAGTGTTTTAACTAAAATTAGGAAATTGCGTTTGCCAATTTTGCCAATTGATTCTATTATTTCTCAGTTCCAATTGAAAATTTATAAATATATACTTAAACTAAAGATGTCAACTCCTTCGGTAATGGTCTTTGGAGAATTATGTGTATTTTCTATTGAAAATGATATTATTTTGCAGAATGTAAAATTTTTGGAGTAAACTAGTTGATGGTAAAAATGACAAAATATGTGCTTCTTTGTACCGCACTATGTATAATCATCATGAAAAGGGTATTTTACCTTGTCAGTGGAATGAGACAGTAAAATCTACTTTGAATAATATTGGTTGTTCTGATTTTTGAACAACTCAGAATGTTACGAATTTTAATAATTTTAAATATGTAATAAAATCACGATTACGTGATCAGTCTTTACAAGTATGGAATAGTGACGTTTTCAATACTGCTAAGTGTTTAAATTATAGAATATATAAAACTCAATTTAAATTAGAACATTATTTACTATGTTTACCAAGAAATTTAGCAATTACTATTTGTAAATTTAGATGTCTCAATTCTGATATTTCTATTGAGAAAGGTCGCTATTTTTGGTATTGAAAGAGAAAATAGAACATGCTCACTTTGTAACCAGCAATAAATAGGTGATTAATTTCACTATATTTTCAAATGTAGTTATTTTATTCTTGAAAGACACAAGTTTATCAGTAATTATTATTCAAGGTTTACTAGTATTTCAAATTTTCAGGCTCTAATGTGTAGCGACAACAGAAATACTTTATTTAATCTAGCCATTTTTTGTTAAAGCAATAATGTTGAATTTATTTTTATTATTATATACCAAACTTCTTAAGCACTTTTTTCATGCACATTGACACGTTCAAAAGTACTGTACTGTACTAAACAGTATAACCAAATAAATGATACAATATTTAAAAAACAAATAAAAACATCAATATTGCTCAAGTCACACATTCAAATTAAATGTAGTTTAAAAAGTTAAAAAAGACACATAGATAATAAAATACAGGTAAGAATTAAGAATCATTTTAAAAAAAAAGCAAACCTTAAAAAATAATCAGTCAAAATAAAACCTCTTAAATAAGTGAGTTTTAAGCGCGTTCTTAAACACTGTTAGAGTTTTTAAGTGTTCTAAGTAGGGCATTCCAGAGTTTATGGGCTGCCATCATAAAAGCACGATCACCATAAGTCACCATAAGTCACAGTCCTACTACGCGGTACAACAAGTGCTAAGCAATCATTCTGGGACCTAAGTTGCCTGGATGGGATATAGATGTCTAGCATGTTTCGTATGTACTTAGATGCCTGTCCATGAAGCGCATTAACACATATGTAAGGAGTTTGTACTCTGTTCTGATGTGCACATGCAGGAAGCCACTGTAGTACCTTTAAAACTGGGGTTATGTGGCATTTTCGCGGTGTCCTGTAATAACACGAGCAGTCGTATTTTGAACATTTTGGAGCTTGTTGAGAACGTACTTTGGAGATCCATGTAGCAACGAATTACAGTAATCTAATTTTGATGTCACTAACGAGTTTATCAAGGTTCTGGTTAAATCAACAGTCAAGTATATCCGAATTTGACTTATTTGTCGAATTTACATGAAGCATGAACGAGAAACTGAGTTCACATGTTGTTCCATGTCTAAATGAGAGTCCAGTACGGCGCCAAGGTTTGTAACTGTCGTTGATGGTTTTATTACAGAATCACCGGCTCTTACAGTAAGATCTTCAACATCACTTCGTTTTAGTCCAAAGACAATCACCTCTGTTTTATCCGCATTAAGTTTCAAAAGGTTATTATTCATCCATAGGATGATGTCATTCAGGCATACTTCAATCCATCGCAAGGTATCATTGCGTGAAATTGCATCCTTTGGTTTAAATACCATGTACAATTGCGAGTCATCTAAGGAGAAATGATGTTGTAGTTTATGCTTCCCACAGGTTTTGGTGTACATGATGTAATTCTTCGGACCAAGAACGGTTCTTTGTGGTACATAAAATGTCATACGTACAGGTTTTGACAGTTCACCATTGACGCAGACAGTTTGATGTCGCTAAAACAGATACGATTTCATGCATTGTAAAGGTTTGCCTACTATTCCGAAGTGTTGTTCGAGCGGGCAAAGGAGGGAACTATGGTCGATCATATCAAAAGCAGCAGATAAGTCCAACATTACTAGAACAGTAGCTTCATTCTGATCAAGAGAACGGAGAATATCATTTTGTGCACATAATAGAGCAGATTCTGTTTGAATGAAACAATGCCTATAAGCAGACTGACGCTCTCCATAAGTTTATGTGTAGATAGATGTCTTTAAAGTTGGAAATCGACAACTTTCTAGAGAATTTTGGAGAAAAAGGTAAATTAGATACAGGCCGGTAGTTTTTCATAACCTCTTGATCCAACCCTGACTTTTTTATTAAAGGTCTCTAGAACCTTTAAAAGCGTGTGGTACGTGTGGCCCTCTCAAGTGAAGTGTTTATGATTTTTGTGATCAATGGTAATAGTTCATTTAATCAAGTTCACAGGATTTGTTTGGAGAATTGCGAATAATTTTTTAAATTTCCATATCAGAGACTACTGAAAAGTTTGAAACTCTCCATTGAAAGGTGCTTTCAGGGACAATATTGTCTGTTTGTTGATGAGACTTGGTCCTGGCTATACCATTACGTATGCCTTCAACCTTATCCACAAAAAAGTCACTAAAGTCTTGTGCTAGAACGTTTGCAGGTTTACCAGATGGCAGTTGTGTTTTCACCCATCAAATGCCGGGTCACTTTGGTAAGGTTTTTCATATCACGACCACGTGACTCTATTTTCTCAGTGTAGTAATTGACTTATTTGACCTATTTAGAAGCTTATTCGTAACAGCGCAATTTCATTAAGTCATCTTCCTTATTTACTTATTTACTTCTGTGCCCTGTTTGTTTTATTTTTTTTTTGTATTGTTTAATTGTTCACTCTTATGCCCATAAGGGCCATGAGTTTTTGTTTATAAATAAAAAAAAATTACAGACATTAATATGAGTGCAAGCTTTAACGCAAAATCTATGAGATCTTTGTGTTTCACAATATCTGTAGAAGTAATAGAAGACCACAACTCGCATCCGTATAGTGCTTTCGGGATAATTTTAGCATCGTATATTTTCTTTAAGAACACTGCGGACCGATCACACTTTTGTTAATGCTGAGTTAGGTAGCTTCAAGTTTAGTTAAAGCGTCTTCAACCGTTTTATTTGTTGAAAAAAAATGGATCACAGTTTATACCAAGATGTACA